CAAAGGTAACTGCAACAAATATTTGCGAGAGAACTAGTTCAGATATCTGAATAAGTAAATGCCATCTTGGCACTTGTATCTATTTTTTTAAATAAACTTGCCTTTTTTGAAATTCGAGTGTAATTTTGTACAATTTTGAACAAGTACAGTTTTGGTGACCGAAAGCTGTGGAAAGTGAAGCAGTGTTTTTCCTCGAAAGGAAGAAGCTCCAGGTTGTGGTGGTGCCGTTCCCTGACTGTGCAGAGTGGACTCGGGATGGCCCCAAAGGGAGTGGAGACCATGGAAGGACAGGGGTCCTCAACACCGCTGTTTATTCTGGGGTCATCAGAAGGAGAGGTGTGGCTTTCAGTTTCTGAAGCAGGTGTTCTGCTGATTCCTCTGCCTATATTTTCTATGTGCCTTTTCATTTTTAGAGCCAACATTTGTATTCATCCTCCAGTATGCTGATTTCATCTCTTCTTAAAGAGCATGTACTTTTAAGGAATGATCTCTGATTCCTCCAGCCGTGAGGAAATGATTGCTGATCCCAGATCATCTGGAGGGCAGCCGCCCACCCTCAGAAGGCCAAACCTGAAGCCAGGAGGAGAGGAGAAGAATGGAGAGCAAAGGGAGCTAGGCTTCAAAATTTCCCCCAAACAATGCAACAAAACAAAGACAACCCCCTCAGCAAAACAAGCAAAATAAATACAGTGAGTAAACAGAAAGTGAGCAAGCGAACACGGGAAGAGACGGGAAGACCTCTAGGTGGTGAAAGTTTTGCTGACCAGGGTAGAAGCAAACAGCACATCCTTGGGCCAGGGCAGCCAGAGAGCAGAAAAAGCAGAAGTACCAGGAAAGGAGCTTAGACAAGAGGGTGGAAAGAGAATAAAGTAAATCAAAATCAAATAAAAGAAGAATGGCCTTGTAGGAAGGTGTAGGACTGGTGATTGACTGGCTGCAAATGGAGCTAATAACTTACCCAGGCAATCAGCAACTGGCAGGCGGCGAAGGAGGGAGCTCTTGCCAGTTTCTGGTAGAAGAAAACAGGAATCTTTTTGCTGTGTACAAAGTCATCAGCCTACATGTCTTGGCTCGGGAGCGGATTACACTGCAGCAGAGAGAAAAAAAATTATCAGTGGCTCCCAGTTATGACTTCAGCTAGAAGGAAAAGTTTGAATTATGCTTGTATGCTTTACTCATGAAGAAAAATAAGATTTTAACACAGGAGATATTTCATCTCAAAGTTAAAGTTGGCATTAAGGAGTTGAACTCGGTGATGTGGGGAAGTGTTCACTAGAGCTATTTATTCCTTGAAATCCTGGAGAATTGATACGGAAATCGTGCTGTACCTCATCATTGAGATGACAAGATTGGAAGTAATTTTCACCAAAAAAAACGTATTCATACACCCTTGCGTGCCCATGCACACCTATGTCTACACACTCACACCCCACATTCATATGCATTCATACAATGTGCTCACACACACACACACACACACACACACACATAACCCACACATGTAGAAGACTCATTCACAAACACAAGCAATGATTTATTTTATTCTTTACTTATCTTTTTAGAGAAAAGAGCTGTAAAAAGAGTAAATACTTTTGTTGAAGATTTCTAAGTACAAAATCTCCCTAGAAGATGGAAGGGACACAAGGAAAGTCAGCTTGTATAGGGGAACATCTCAGCAGAGGGCAGGCTCTGAGAAAGAGCTATCTAATCTGACATATGTCACCAAGGAACTCATCCTCTCCCGAGTTCTGACTTGGCTGCAAACACATATTTTCTAGGACTCTGAATTCATGCACTATTGACAAGTAACCTCCTTTCCCCCTTCCCCATTTCCTCAAGGCGCTGAGTCCTGTGGTGAGCTAGCACTTTAGCCAAAGGAAGTCTGGAAGAGACTGGTATTTCACCAGCCCCACAAGCAGAATGACTCACCTGTTACTAAACAGACCCTCACAAAGCCCACTGCTCCAGGATGCCTGGGATCTACCTCCTCAAAGGAGTGAGTGGGATCCAGGAGATGGGTCTGACGGAGGACGAAGGGCGTCTGGAAGAGACAGGGGCCCTTTCCAACAGGGCCGGAGCAAGGTCACCTTGGAGACCCCTGGATGGTACCATTTGCCTTCTCATTTTTGAAATGTAGGGCTCCAAGGTGCATATCTGGGATGTCCAAAAGCTTGAAGGGACAGGTAAACATTTAGACAGTGAGTCCGTCAAGAGACCAGAATTCGAATTCCTTGAGTTTGGAGACAGCTTTGTGTTTGCTCTGTGACGTCTGCTTACTTGTGTGTGTATGAGGGTTTTGCGTGAGAATCCCAGGGTAGGAGAGTAAAAAGGACCCATACTGCATGAGCTCCTTCCTGGTGTTCAGGTGCTGAACAATGTGTGGACATTTCTTGGGTTAATAAGGTTTTTTTTTTTTTTTTTGAATTGCAAACATTCTGTGGGAATTCCTCTGCAAATTCTGAAGTAAGTTGTAGAAGCAAGAACGTGAGATATTTCTTTCTCCTTTTTCTCCTGAAGAAATAAAATGAGCCATATTTAGAGCTAGTTTTGAAAGCATTTTCTCACTTTCTCTAAAGAATTGAGAGTGAGGAAAATTCAGCTTCAGCTGCACTGAATCTTTGAATGTGTGTGAGAAGGAGAGGAAAGCCTAGGCTTATTTTAATTGAGTAGGGAAATGTGAGAAATCCAGAGATTTTTAGGTCATCAAGGGCCCAGAGGTTCCTTTATTCCAAAATTTCTCGTTTTGTTGTTGCAGAATCTGAGTTCCCAAGTTTCGGAGTCAGGTGCTCCCGTGTGGGGGTGAGGTGAACTCACGGAGAAGTCCACGTGGCAGGTGAGGGGGAGGAGGGGAGGCCAGGTGCATCCCTGGCCCCAGGGGCTCATGGAGTTTTTTGGAGGAGCTGAGCAAGTGGGGGTGAGGGGCAGGTGGGCGGTCAGAAATACAACTCAAGGAGTTGTTCCATAACATAGTATGGGTAGCAGACCTGAGGCTCTTTGAGCAGGTGATGCTAGTGATGCCTTACAAGTGACGTGAAACTCGGTAGACATGCAACCACGAAGAAAGGTTAATGTGAGCTAATTATTGAACATGCCTACACCAAAGAAAGTTAGAACTTAAGAGCAACCAATCAGGAGATGCCAACAAACTTTTACTTCTGTGTGATGGAGTTTTCTGTGGAATCGATCAAATGAAGCAGCGGTATAACGATAACCAATCAAGTATCTTCTGCGCTTTACTTCCGTATCCGCCCTTTCCGTGTCAGCTTCCCTTTCCTGCTCCCTGGTCTGAGTCTTTTTCTGGTTTGGAGCTGCTCCCTTCAAGGATTGTTATTTGCTCCAATAAACTCTTTCAAATTTTATTATTCCTCAGTTCACATCTGTCTAACACAGTCAATGCCTCAGGTCACCTTTATTTAACAGAGTCAATCTCCAAATGCATAGAGTGGGGACATAGTCTTTCCAGGCCTCTTCCAGACAAGCCTCCTATTTCACCTTCAGAGTTAGAACCAGGAAAATGTGTTATTTTCCGTATGAGCTAAGGTGGGTGTTTAATTTAGCAGAACTGCCATGATATCGTTGTTACTTATCAGGCTACCTAAGGATCCACCAGAATACTGGGAGGCTGACTTTCCTACTCTCTTTCCCAGAGCTCTGGGGCATGCATGGAGAAACAAGAAGGAGGCTGGATCTTCATCTTTCTCTTACCAAAGTTGTGACATTTTAGGTGATTTATACGATAGTAGGGTTCCCTGTGAGATCTCCTTTGGGAAAAAGAAAGGGGTTGTGTGGAATAACAGAGCATTTGAAAATCACTCACATGATCTTTTCTCATTTTACAGATGAGAAAACTGAGACCTGCATAGGTCAATTGACTGACCTAAGATTCCACAGCTTGTGGCTCAAATTGAATTACAGCTCCAGTCTTTTGACCAGCAGTAGACTAGTAGTGATTTTAAAGGAGAATAAGATATGGAGATGAAGACCCCATGTGTTGAATGAGCTATCATTCTATTTCAAAGTGTAAATGCTCGCATGGCAGCAACCCCCCTTGTCTGGCTTTAGCTGTGTCTGAAGAATGGCACAGTAATGTGTGGACTGGAGGAGATTAATCAGTTCCTTGTTTAATTCTACAGGCTTGTTTTGCTAGCTTGTGTCTTACATAGAAGTGAACCCTAACTAAAACCTCACTTCTGGTTTTAGATAATTCATTTGATGACTCAGATCTAACCAGGTTGTGAGCCTTTTCACAACACCCCTTCAGGAACAGAAATAATTATGTTTGTTGGCTTTAAAAATTTATAGGAATACTTGCTTTCATCCGTTTTCTTTTTATTCTCCTCAAGTTGGAAAACTGCCTGATTCAATCATCCTCCAATCAACTATAATATTTTCTATAACTATAGCATTTATCTAGACCCCCCCATTTGTCATTATTTAGATGTGAGTAATAATGCCCAACAGCATTAACAAACCAGGGAAAAGTTTAAATACAGGAAAAATTTAAGCATAGGTAGCAGGGAAGTGTGCATTAATAGAAGATGAAATTAAAGATTTGGGAATTAAAGCAAAGCTCTGTGGCAGAAGTGGAATAGGGTGGAAGTCTGGCATAGTCAAAGTCTGCAGTTGAGAAGTCAAGGGTATTAAATGCTCCAATGCCAGTGTATAAGATCAGTCATCTACCGTGAGACATGGGTATCATTCACAGTGTTTTCAAGGATAGTGGTAGAGAAGAAAAACAACAGCTACTAGGTACCCAAAACCTCAACAGATATCAGGCAGAATTAGAAGTTTGATAGAAGAGATAGATAAAGCTAGGGATGGGAAGTCCCAACACTATGGCTTTGATTTCATGGTGGAAGGGATGTGCTTTGGAGAAGAATGAAGTAGTGAAGGGAGGTCTTCCCCCTAAGTCTTGTGCATTTGTAGGGGGCACAAGAGGCTGAGTTGGTGAGTTATGCAGCTTTCAAAGGAAAAGAGTTTATGTATTTTCCATCAAAATTATTCTGAAATTATTAGGCAAGTACTTGCTCAGAAAAGGTTACTAAACATTGCATAAAGAGCTATGACTGTTCTATGGAGCAACCTATCCTAATTACCCAATGTTTTATTTGCATTTTCCCAGGGCTACCTCTAGATATGAGTATTGCTATTTACAGCAATTGTTCATGTGTTAATGTCTCAAATCTTAGCATTTAGAGTTCATTTCCATCAATTTGCCTTGGAGTGAACTGTAGTTTCACATTTGTGACTTAGTGGATATTTGCTCATTGTACCAGAATTTAGTGAGCTCTACTGCGTGTTAGACACTGGAAGAATAAAAGGTGAGTGTGTTTGAAATGGTCTCTCTTTTCATTGAGTTTATGCTTGGGTACGTGTGGAGTCTCATTTTTAAAATCTCTTAATCTTAAATTTATCATTTTCCTTTAAGAATCAACCAAAAGCAAACAACTCTTTCTAGAAACAATATATAGTGTATCATCTTCAAAAATGAATGTATGGAAAATGTAAGTATATAAATATCTGTGTGCAATCATTAATCCTTAACCATTACTAGCTATTGCTTTATCCAACTTCTTTCTGGGGATCAAACTCAGGATCTGTGCTTGCAAGGCAGGAGGTGGAACCACTGAGCTGAATCCCCAGCCCCTTATCTTTAATTCTTGAATTATTAGAATATATTAGACATTTTATAACCGTAGTCTCTGTTCCTTAAGCAGTATTGTAGTCAAAAATCCCTGAGTTTTTGGCTTAGTTTTTGGGTTTTTCCCCTTACTTATTTCCAGCTTTCTGATTACAATTAATACTTTGCCTTTCCTCATCTTCTTGTTTTCTTTTTCTGAGTTTCATTTTCTTTACCGTAGTTACTTAGGCAAATATCTGTGTGGGTTTTCCATGTGTTTATGACACTTGGCAGAGGAGAATTTTTCCTTTTTATAAAAGGAAGATAATTTTCTCGATCCCCAGCAGACGGTAAGATAATTGGCTATTTATCTTATTGATAATTTGCATTAATTGCTTTCATAGCAGGGAAGAGTCTCAGTTGTGATGATAAAAATTCAGTTTATACTTCAAATCACTTCTATAAAAGGTTCTATATTTTCTCTAATAAATTATTTTTAGAAATGAAACATGACAAAATAAACAAATCTTAAAAATGAAACTAAAAATGGGTTTCTGATCACAGAGTAAAACTCAGTGATAGTTACAAAATCTGTCAGTTCCCATATGGGTAGACATATGTGCAAAGCTGAAGGAATATTTGTCATTAGATAATTGAAAGGCCTTGATTTTTTTCCTTTAGAAGATTATTTCTGGTTGTTCCTTTCAGCTCTGAAAGGATCAAGGATCCTAATTATTTCATGATGAAAATGTACATGTACCTTTGTGCACGTGGATGTAGACATACACCGATACACTATTATATTACTAAACAAAGGATATACTTGAATGGTACTGTGAGGTGAATATCAAGCATTGATATCAAGCATTGAATAATTCCTATCTTTTTGTAAAGTTCTTTTTCAAGGGTCAGAAAATGATTGTGTTCTCTGCCAAGGGTCACCATGTTGTAGAACACATTCTGCCCAATGAGCTATAAGTAGAATTCCCACCTAGGGGATTTTGGGAAAGATTTTGCTCTTGAAGTAAAAGTAAGATGGAAGAGGAAAGCTCTCTGGTTCTGTCTTTTCCCCTATTCTCTTGCCCCTAAAATGATGCTAGGTCTGTGGCAGCCATTTTGGTGAGGACCATGAGGCAATGTGCCAAAAGACAGAAAGCCATCACATTTAGGATAGTGGAAGATAGAAAAGAGATAGAAGTGACAGAAAGAATCCTATGTCTCTGTTACTGCATCAAATTTGGAACCACATACCTGGTATTTCAATGTATGTGAGGTGATTAAAAACTTGCTGAGCTTAAGTCCCTGTTGGTATGTCACAATATTTTTCGGACACATTTCCAGTTTGATCACTATGCAATGGCAGGTATATAAAAACAGGAATCTAAATTGAAAGCCCAGTGTTTTGTGTCCTTGTTACCTCTCTACATAATCAGAATTTGGGAAATAAGTTCATATTCCTGAGAAATAATAACATATTCTTCTCGTTGACAAATTTCCCTGAACTCTCTGAAAGCCATATTTATCTTATAGCATTTTCACTCACTCTTTTTGCAGCTTGTTTAACAAATTATGGGGTAAAATTTCCTTGATAGTCACTAGTGACTGAATATTGACTTTTCTCATCATGACTCTGGCCAAGTATTGAACATTAATTGCATTTCCTGAACCTTACCAAAGAGTAACTTGCTAAGATCTTTATACACATTGCAGTCCTGTTGAGTGGTGGGCAGCTCACTGCACAGGACTCAATTCATGATCAGTATTTTACTTTTTAATTCAGTGGTGGTTATACAGGTATTCACATATTACTGCATGTTGTTAATACTTGAAAATGACTTAATAAAAAGGGCAGCTTGTAAAATCATTGCATTAATGAAAATTTGGCTTGTACACATTCTGATGAGAGAAAAGATGGCGACCAAGGGAGATTTTGGCAGGGGTTTTCTGCCAGAGTTCTCTGTATATCAGCTGGGGAGGATTTGGAGTTTATTTAAGTTCTTTAATGAAGAAACCTTTTAATACAAAAGTAAATTTTATGAGTAGTGTTGTTTGAACCTCATTTAATTTCTTTATTATTAGGATATTTGTATAGAAATTATATATTGAATAAAACCCATAATTAGATGCCACATTTCTTTTTGCTTTTGCCTGTAAAGCAATGAGTCTGCTTAACATCTTTCTTCAATTTGCCGTGTTAAGAGTCTCTCATTTTTTCAGTTAATTTATCTCTTCCCCAATAGCAAGTGTTAAAGGTCTTTAGGCAGATATTGCTATGTATGCAACTGAAGTCTAATCATGGAGTTGCTCATGTATTCAAAACAACCACAGAAATTCTCCAGTCGGAGCTTATGGCCCAAACTGGAGACTATTATACGTCGCTCAAGAACATGGAATTGGGAAAAATGAGCAAGACCTCCCAGCAAACTGCAAAACTGAGTTAAAGGAGAGAAGTAGACATTGACAAATACCCTCATCAGAGCTATGCCAGTGGTGTCTTAACTCTTGGTCAGTTAAATCTACCAATACATTTAAAGAAAGAATGTGTCCATCAAATGAGTGGTTGAGAAGCCAGAAAAACATACGAAGAGGAAATATGGAGGAGGAGATCTCTGTGCGGTTTAACTGAGACTTGTCTGAAGATGATGCTTTGAATCACAGTGCTCTATTTCAAGGGAAGGTTATTGTTGCTGTTATTAATGTTGTTATCCTCTAGTACAGCGATGGCAAACCTTTTAGGGCTTTCAGCAATAACAAGTAGCCCGCTATGACATGCGTGCCATAGGTTGGCCACTACTGTTCCAGTATGTTCTGTATTTTCATGTCACATTTTAATGTAAAAAAACTAAGGATGTGGACACTAATATTACCCCTATTTATAGATAAGGCTTTCCGGTTGGAGGGCATCAGGTGCTTGTCTACAACCTTACAGCTAGTAAATGTCAGTGTCAGTCTTTGAACTTAATCAAGAGAATTTGTATGTAGAACCACAATTCTGAGAATTCATACAGCCCAAAGAGAATTCTTTCCTAAGCTTTGCACAGAAGAATTAGAGGATCCAAAGTGTGTAGCTAGTCCAATAATGTGTGTCAGAAATAAGACAACTCAGGTCCCCTGAACCTTAGTTTTCTATATTTCCAGACTACATGGATCTTTCTCCCCATCAGGGAAATCATTAAAGATGAAAGCAGTAAAATTAGACTGTGAGAAGAAATGGGACAACAGCAGGCTGCACTCATAGGAAGGGACTTTTCATCGTGCACTGGAAAGAAGGGAAGAATTGTTCTTCACCCTTTTGAAGGTGGATTTTCCAAATAAATTGTTGGAATTCTGCACAGATTTATCTACTCTTCCATTTAGTTATTTATTGAATCACTTATTTGTATCATTCATTATTTATTATTAGACTCATTTATTTCACACTTTGGGTTTTAATCCATTTTTTTTTCTTACTCAAAAGTTCCTGCTTTGGCTGCTTGGAGCTTCTTCAGTTACCTCCTGTGTCCTTTTGATGTGCCCACCGTTGTGTGTGTGTGTGTGTGTGTGTGTGTGTGTGTGTGTGTGTGTGTGTGACTTTACGTTCTAGCAGTACAAGCTGCTCCAGCCGTTCCCGCTTCTGTTCTGGAATTGGCCGTATCTCCAAGGACTCTGGTTTTTCTTTTTTTTTTAATTAAAGATTGCAAACATACATGACAACAAGAAATGAAGATACTAAATAAAAATTTCAAATATATGTATATATGACAGCACAAAAAGGATATGAAATAAACAAAAATTTATGCAACACAGACTGATAATCCAAATACATTATTGGTTTGATAAGATCTTCAAATATTATATGTTCTTTCTCATTTTCTTTTCATATAATATTTTTGAAATATTGTATTTACCAATAAAACAAAATTACATATATAGTTGAGAAACTGTCCTCAAAATTTTATGATTTATAAGCTCCTTGGTTTTATTAATTTGATAAATATCATATGCTTGTTGATTGTATCACTTACATTTTCTAACAAAACTTCCCACTGAAAAGAAATATATTTGAAATCCAAAAACAACTAGAATAGTTCACATTTTTAAGATCAGATTTTTCTGTTTCTTTTTTAATATATCCCATATTTATTTTTATATTTTTATAAGCATAATGATAGAATTTAACTCCAATACATATGTAATATTCTTCCCAAACAAATGACTATGAATTAAATCAAGCATCTAATTTAGAGAAATCATAAGGTTGCCAGAGAAACTATGTATATGCCAAATGTGCAAAATCCTACCACATTCATGACAATGTTTCTCATTTAATAGTGCACACATATGTGTAAAAACATACCTCCCCCCACACATACACGTCTATCAATATGCCAAATGTGCACAATCCTACCACATTCATGACCATGTTTCTCATTTAATAGTGAAAACATATATGTAAAAACATACCCCCCCACATATACACAATGCAGATTTCTACAATACAATATATACTTTGGTATAATAAAACAGTGCAGTGATGTGTGGAATCTTTGTGATTTGTGTGATTTGAGAAAAACAAATATCATCTTTGAGGCAGTTGGAGAATTTGTAATATGTACCAGACAGTGAATGATATTAATGATTTTTTATCCATTTATTTAAGTATAGTGATGATAAAATTTACTTAAAAATTAATATTCATTGTCAGTAGAAAATAGGTACAAAGATATATTGATAACATAACAAAATTTGTCTTAACAAATCTCCAACCAAACAAGCTGTAGTGACAGAAAGGAAGTTTGCAGAAGGCAGAGATGAGAGAGGAGAACGACGGATGGACCGTAATACTTTTCACACTACTCATATACACAGATTCCATAAATTCTCATATAAAAAAGCAAAGAAAATGAGAACCAAAATAACTCATCAGTTTGGTAGATCAACATATAAAGAAAAATATTAATGTGTTGATAAATTTTTAAAATATGAAATGTAAAGCCTGAGATTTAGCTCAGTAGTGCTGCACCTGCCTAGCCAGAGCAATGTGCTGAGTTTAATCCCCAGCACCAGAGAAAGAAAAAGAAAAAAGAAAAGAGAAAAGGAGCATATGTGCTTTCTAACATACTCAATAGATTGAAAATGAATTATATGTTATCTCTTCCTCTTGAATTGTTCCCTTCCCAAGGATGTAGTGGCCTTCTTTGTCTCTTTCAATCAGTTTAGGTTTGAAATTTACTTTGTTAATAAGATTGCTTCCCCTGCTTTTTTCTGGTCTCCTACTGCATGAAGAAGTTTTCTGTCCTTTCACTTTCAGTCTATGGGCTGCTTTTAGCACTAGGTGTGTCTTGTATACAACATTTTATTGGATTTTGCTTCTTAATCCATTCTGCCAGTCTATTTCTCTTGATTGGTGAATTGAGGCCATTGATACTGATAGTTATAACTGATATGCACTAACTTATTATTGTCATTTTTTTTCGCCTTCTCCTTTTAGTTTCTTACCTTGCCTATTTGATTTGCTCTGTTGGGCCTCATGGTGCTGTTGCCTTCATTGTCTTTTTCTAGGATATTGTTTAGAATTCCTTGCAGTGCTGGTTTGGTGTTCATGAAGTTTCTCAGGTGTTCTTTGTCATGGAAGTATCTTATTTCCCCATCCATTTTGAAAGAAAGTTTTGCAGGATACATCAGTCTAGGTGTGAGGTTGTTTTCCTTTAGTACTTGAAATGTCTCACTCCAGGCTCTCCTTGACCTAAGGGTTTATGTTGAAAAGTCTGCTGTGATTCTGATGGGCTTTTCTTTGCATGTGATTTGTTTCTTATCTCTTACTGCTTATAGTATTTTGTTCTTCTGCTGGGTTTCTGGGATTTTGATTATTATATTGGTTTTTCTTTTTGGAGAATATTAGAAACTGGTCCAGGCATTAGTCATGTGACTCTTACTTTAACCAGTGGCTAATGTTTAGGAATCAAAACAGTGGCTGCCTGTGGAGAGCGGAAAACATCCACAGGGGACTTGTAGGGTGTCTGATCTGTTTCTTGATCTTAGTCCTTGTTGCCTTGGTTTCTTCATTTCATGAAAGTGCATCAAGCTATATGTCTATGATATATGCAGTTTTCTATTTTTATGCTATATTTCAATAAAATTTTTAGCATGTCAAAGAAAAACAAGAAAAAAACCCCCTAATAATTCACATTTACTGAGCATCAGGCAAACAAACTCTCAGGATCTGAATCTTGGAGCTCACCAGCTCTATAATAGCCCCTCAGGAGGGAAGGGGGTCATCATGTGCCTCAGGTGGCTGCTGTGACCTCTGAGTGAGGCTTTACAATGCTGCCCCAGGTGTAGGTGTTTGTATACGTGTGTGTGTGTGTGTGTGTGTGTGTGTGTGTGTATTCAGTTAGTCCTTGTGATTTACAGAGTTCCTTCTTATGAACTTGCTTACTTGCTGATATTTACTTGAAACCCTAAAGTCAATGTTTAGGCAGTGTCTAAGGTCACTGTGGATGTGCACCCGGTGGCACGATAGCCTGGTGCCTGTGTAGCCAGTGAGCTTGGCTTAGGTGACCCTCTGACTTCTAGTTCCAGCTCTCCTGCTAAACACAAGCATCCCCTTCTGAATGTAGTTAGGGCCATGTTTCTCACATTTTGGTGCTTTTCTTCATTGTGATTTTACTATTTAGAATGGCCTCACATGCAGTGCTGAATCTGTGTGCATTGTTTATCAGAGTGAGAAGTCTATAATGAGTCTTAGAGAGGGAAGCATTGTTTGTTTATTTATTTATTTATTTATTTTTGGTTATTTTGACACAGAGTCTCACTATGTAGTGGAGACTGACCTGGAACTCACTGTGTAGCCCAGGCTGGTCTTGAACTCATAGAAATCATCCTGCCTCAGCCTCCTGAGTGCTGGGATTACAGGTGTGTGCCACCACACCCGGCATGAAAGCATTGTTTAGTCATGAGTGCTCCTGAGTTTAATGTTACTGAATTGGCTTTATATGTCAAATAAGAAACATACACCTATAAAAATTTATGGATTCTTCATGAACTTATTAGATGCTCTTAGGAAACTAAGCCTGGATTTTTTTTAGGAGCAAATGTTTTAGTATGTGCTAATTTACTGTTTGTGGTAGCCTTATGGGACTTGAATACAAATAATGAGAACAAATTGTACAAAAGCATATTTTGATATATATCTATATCTATATATGACTATCTAGACTTGGATGTATAAAGATATGAGAACAATGCTCATCAATGTGACAAAGCTCTAAGTAATGATAACCTGTTGTTACTTAGGTTTCTGACTAGAGTTTTTCTGCAGTCCACAGTCATGCCTGGGTAAGTTGATTTTTGTTTTGGTCCTAGCAGTACTTTGGCATCATATGTAAAGAACAACACTAAACGCAGCAAATCCTCACGCTCATGGCATTTATCTTGTAGCATATGCTCAAAGGCCTCAATTTGTTACTTCATGCATAGCTTTAGTACCTAATGCTTGGTAGACACTCAATATTTTTGAATTGTCTAGAAATCTTCCAGAAAAGAATAGAAGCACGGTGAAGGAGAAGCCAAATTCAAAGTTAAGTTACTATGTTTGACTCAAATAGACAAGTACGAAATGAGCCCTGGGTACAGGATTTTTGTAATCACCTGCCCTCGTTCTGCCATGTAACAGTCTGTGAATAAGATGTACTTTCAGCTTTGTATAAACAATAACAAGCTTACCCGATATAGGAAAGGAATACGTGGTCTAGCTTTCAAGTCAATTAGTGGGATATTCCAAAATCTGTTCTGATGTGATGCCGGTTGTATACGTGTTCCAATTGCTCCAGTTACCTTGGACCAGAAAGAGTGAGATGGGCAGTCCAGGGCTAATTAAGAAATATTGAACATATTTGGTGTCAGTGTGCCTGAGAGATAGACCCTATGGAAGTTCTCTAGACAATTGGAATCAGGTTGCTGGGTTTTGAAAAACATTCTACACTGTGTGTAGAAGTCCAAAGAACTCAGAAAACATACATGCTCTGGACTCTTTAAAACATGCAAAGATCAAGCAAATTTAAGGCAAAGCAGGCATGAATCATGTGAGCATAGATTTTAATGGAAGGGAACAGCAGCTAAAGGACATTAACCTGTGCATTTGTAACGCAGGACCAAGACACTCCCTGTTTTTCCCAATCAGATAAACATGATTTGCAGGAGTTTTATGGGTAAGATTATTTGTTGGAATTTAGGAGAAACCCAGAATGGTCCACTGGT